GCATCCAAGGTGGATTAGTGGGGATATTTTCTTTCATCACGCATTCTGGAAGTGTCGTAGGTGGAAGAGATTCCATGCTAGAGGAAGCTGTAGACGTAAACGTGCACGCTTGAACGCTGTCGACAGAAGTTGACGAAGACTTCGTGCGACATAGCCACTCGCTATGTGAGACAATTGCATTCTTTCGTCTTCTGTTATTTCGTCGTAGTCATCTAAAGTTGATTCTCTTGCATGACCGGTTACCTGGATGATTTTATTGCGTGGTTGGCCTGCCTTCTTTAACTTCGCGACGACTGTTTTCCTTGTGGAGTGGATAGTGGGTTTCTTGACGTGCAGTCATCTGGCAAGCAACTTGCGACGGATTTCATTATTTCACTGATACGATGTTCCCCTATTCGGGATTTGGCATACTAAACACTGGTGGTGGGTCATGGTATTATCGCCAAATACAGAGGTTTTAACCATTTCTCAAAGAGTCTTACGGGGTCCCTTTCACCGCCATCTGTACACCACATTTGTTGGGGAGAGCATCGGGTTTTATTTCGCAAGCCGCCTTGCCTGGTTTTGGTTGGATTTTCTTCGAGCTGAGCCACATTGTCTGCATCTGTCATTTGCAAAATGGTGAAGTCTTCCACGTAAGCATTGTAGTGGTCTTGACGGCTTCTGAACCCCGTGTGTTCTGACAGATTCTTGAAATTGACGTTGGTGAAGGCAACACCATTGTGATTTCCTAATTTACCTTCGGTCCAGAAAATTTCTTCGCCTACTTTGCTGTAAGGCTGAGCTCTGTTAAGTCGTTTTCCCTTGCCTTGGTACCGGAGCAATTTTGCTTTTGAATTTAGAGTCTCTTGGGACTTTTTGAACTCCCGTCCGCTGATGATACTATCTGGATAATTCTTTTGGCGAAGATACCTGTCGATGGATGCTTGCATCTCCCGAAGCGAGTCCGGTTCGTATTCGGAGCCGTTTCTTTTCCTCACTTCGGCGTAGAATTTTGTCAAACTCTCGTCCAGAGCTTGAGGGCTGAAACTCTCAATCTTGTCGTCAATATTTCGCGCTTCACATCATTTCATCCATACTGTCAGCCATGTTTGCGCGGTTCGCTTTGTGTTTTAATTGCTTGCAGCCGACTGGTTTATCTCCGTTATTTCTTCGCTTGATACAACTGGAAAACGGGACTCTTCAAGTCCAAGTGGTGTTGGCAAGGGAACATTTTCATCTGGAACTGAATGTTGCCGTTGCACTTTATCACATAACTCAACTTGCAGTGTTTCAGTTCGTGGAATTTGCGAGGGCATTAACAATGCCGTGGTTACCGTGGGCTGTGTTTCTTGTATATCGTCTGTAAAAGCTGGCAATTCTGATAGTAAACTTTCGTCACTTTGCTGAAGAAACTGTGAAAATATTTCAAAATTCACATTGGGGAAAATATCTCCAGTAGAGACATTATCTAAAGTTACAAATCTATCTATATATCTATACACACTTTGGAGTAATTGTTTTTTCTTTTTGCATGCATGGTCTTCAGTTCTGGACAACCCTTATTCAACTCAGGGTAAAAAAAACTCAAAAAACCTAATAAACGGACAATGTACTGATTTTTACTAGATGGGAAAACGACAATCTTGCATGTGACTCTATCACATTATTGAATGAGCAGGTCGGTCGAGAACACGACGTTTCTGCAGCTGTTAAAATTAGCATTCACACGTCAACTGACCGAGAAAGGATAAGACGTATATTTTCCATTGTAACATGAAATTGTACAGATTGACGGCATGCCTTTTCATAGAATATCTCATATCTCATATACACATCAGTAACCAATCACGTTATAAATCTATTTGAAACTCTTATAACCAACTGCTTCAGGATCAATCAGTGACAAGACATTCTTTGAAAAACAGTACTTACTACAAATTAAGATAGAAACTGGTTGACAGTTGCTCGAGTTTCACGCTTTAAGCCATCATCAGACTGTACCCTTAGGGGGAGGGGGGAGGGTGGGGGGAGGGGGGGACAAAACTCAAACTGATTCATGGAGGACGGGTGGTGCGATCCTGTTTCTGATTGGCTGCATAGTCGTGAACACTTAACATGGTTTATACATATTTTGGGTGCCTATAGAAAAACGGCTCTTCGTATTAAAAGGAGTATTTAGCGTCTTAACCTGCAAAAACGCTTATCTTGTACGTTAAACGAAAAGCTTTCACTGTATGGTCATCAAACATAATTACAAAAAATGGTTCGAGTAAGTTAACCTTACTGTAAATCCCTCAGAAGCCTTTATTATTGAGTGGAGAACCAAGAAAATATGATCATAATCTCTCTTGGGGGGACTTCCTTGGGATGGTTACCATATTAAATATCATAAATCCGCGAGTGTACATTAGAAAAGACATTAAAATAAATTTTCTCGGCTTTAAATAGAAATTTCATTTATTAAAGATATATGAAAAAATTACACATAGTGAATAAGTCCATAGTATTATTACAATAATATTCGATCCTGGTTCTATATAAATACATCAAGACATCATAAATAACGCGTTCGAAAAATTTTGATCACTGTTTTCTTAACAGCTACAATACTCTGTCTGCCGTACACATTTGGTCCCTTGATTTGTATTGATTGTTACTTTTCTATAATGAGGTAAACATTTTGGCTTTCCATTCTGGTATACGTTACTATCGCACGCTGGGGAGCTAGTCCAGCTAAACTGTTTGCAAACAGCTTCATGATACCCGCGGCACATATACCGCCCAGTTTCACAATCGTTTCCCGGAGATGAGTATGCAGAAACTGGGACACAATAATTCCTTAACAAACCAGGGCAGTCAGATGAGTCTCCTTTTGCTCGAATGCCTGATGTCCCATTTACAGCATGACTGACTTCAAGTTCTCCTTCAGTAATATTCTGATCCCTCCTTTCCAATTCTTGTAATTTGAGAGGTTTACCCAGAGTTTGATCGGACAGAAGCATACCAGCAAGAAGGACAAACAAAAACTGCAACAAGACAAAAAATAAAGTTTTTAGAGAAGTACAATTGTTAGTCAAGCAAGAATTTGGTATTGACTTTATGTAAAAACCGTAGTTGTAGAATTAAGACGACGCGGTGACGTGTGTCTATAATGTTTACATAACGAATGCATCGGTGACGTTGATCTTGACTTTTAATAAATTTTATGGAGTACTTAAAGAAAAGGCAATTAAAACTAACAGCTTGAAGAAATTGTCTAATTGGAAATGCAATAAAGTAAGTTGTTATGAAATTTTGATTTTGTTAAACGGCTTATGTACAGGGAGAGATAGAAATGGGTACTATGAAAACATTGTAGCATCGTCATGAGGAGAATTCTCCTTGAATACAAACTGAAACAAAATGCAGACAATGGCAATTTCTTCTGTCTTACCTTAATACACCACTCGGACTTCATTTTCAAGCTTACTTCTTCAGTGTTACTTTTTGGTCAAGCAAATTATTTTCCAAGTCTTTGTCTTGAATTCTTCAAAATCGTCGAGACTTAATGATACATTCTCTGAGCCAGCTGATCTTTTATATCCACAGTGTTAGAGCTTGCTAACTATTTTTAAGAAAAGTTTATAACGTTATTTTTAGTCTCGAAGTCAAGCTACTTTTAGCCCCGGTGGGACAAATTTTATAGAGTTGTTTAACATTTCCCGTCGTTCCCGTTACATCTCGTTAAAGCTCTTGAATTATACACAAGGTGTATGCGTGTAGTTAATACCGAGGAAGGAGTTGTTCCCTCTGTCATATTCAGTCGACCATCTCTTTTAAGAGCCGCACAATGTTCGCACTTAGTC